AAGAGTCGCTCAAACGCTGGTACATTGGTCAATTCCCTTGAGTATGGACAATGGGTGTTTTTCTGGTGAGACTTTCAAGAATGTTGCTTAATTGAAATTGGATACAAATACCGGCCATTCCCTTGACTGTTCATTCTTGAGCCAAGGGTTTTAATGGTGGGTGGAAGGCAAGCCTGATGATATATTCTTACCCTGATGGCTTGCACCAAGTTGACTTCTGCGACAACAGATATATACTGCTTGTATACTAGTCTCCACTAGCCTATGATCCTGATTTTGGCTACCGAACATATATAGAAAGTGATTCTCTAATTTGTTTTTTAATTTTGCAACATATATAATCCAGGAATAGGCCACAGAACAAGTTCCTAATAGCAAGCATAGGCCTGGACACCAGAAAAGGTTAAGTTTGACTAAGCCTGTATATGTTTGAGAAATTATAAGTAAAATTAAGTTTGTGATGATTTTTGAGTGGAAGAGTAATGAGGTGTTTAAGCAGTGGTTCTCTTTTTAATTGATTCTGTTACAATCGTACAGTTCTTCCCTCCAATGGCAGTTGCAAGATGTGGTCAACATTTTTGGGGAGGATATCAATTCTAATTGACCAGAACACGCGTACCTTCCATATGTTCATGATCGCACTTATCCATGTGTTGTGCACTTGTGCCGATTCCAATATCCCTTTTCTGTTACATCCACTACTGCACTTCTATTATTAGGCATTGTGTTTTATGTTTTTGCCACCTAAAATTCGAGACTGTGTGACTCAACTTTAGCAAGCTCTCTGCAGTTTCATGCCTTCTTCCTCATGGAGTCAAGTGACTGAACCTGTGCTTGATACATCTCTGTATCTTCTGAGCTGTGTATTCAAATATGACTTTATTAACATATTTCTTATATCATGCAATTGACAAGCTAATTGTTTTATCTATTTCCTGCAATGAACAATAACGGGTTACCTATTCGTATGCTAATTGTTTTATTTCTTTATTTGAAATGGGCATGTTGATGTTAATACTAAGAACCAGAGTTTCATGACTCTTATCTGAAATGATATTCTTGAAATGAACAATAACTGGGTTACCATTCCTCTAAATTTTTTCCAGCAATAAATGAGCATTATTTGTAATTAAACTCATGAAAATAATACACTCAAAACAGATGCATGAAGCTTTTAGAAACAGTATTTGCATAGAAAATCACTGATTTTCCACCACATTTCATCAAGAAACCGGTGATATCTGCACCTCCAGCGCCTGTTAATCACCAAAGGACCCAAAAAACTCCAGAATCCCACTATAAATCCAAGTGCCATGCTCACAAAGAACCAATTTATTTCCTCTCCATGACCCTCACCTCTTCCACCAACAGTTTGGATGCCGCTAGGTTCTGAACCAACTGCACTGCATTTATCCATTAGTGGAAGGCCACAAAGTTTGTTGCCAGCATAGCTAGATGCATTGAAGCTCTGCAACTGTGTACTTGTTGGAATTTTCCGGCTCAGTTGGTTATCAGACATGTTCAGGTAACTCAGAAACGTCAAACTTGACATGCTTTCAGGGATTGGACCAGACAATTCATTTACAGAGAGGTCAAGTGATTCTAACATTCTCATGTTACCCATGCCTGCAGGGATCCTTCCGGTCAAAAAATTGTGGGACAAATTGAGTGATAGCAAATCTTTCAGATTAGTCATTTCTGTAGGAATCTCTCCTGACAAATTGTTACTTGAAAAATCGATAGCTTTCACCAAGTAAAGGATCCTACTGTATTCAAGCAACTGACCTTTCATCACAACAAATACATCCTCCGGCCATTCAGAAGGAAAAAAAATTACATTCTGCAAAAAATAGCCACCCCCGGAATATACATTTAACAGTAAGGGGCTGTCCTCCAAAGAATGTTCCATGGCACTTAAATTACCAACACACCTTGGAATGCTTCCTGAAAGATTGTTATGAGCAAAATCCAAGATTTGGAGAGAACTGAGTGCACATAACTCGTGTGATATGTGTCCCCAAAACTTGTTTGAACGAAGGCTCAAGATTATCAACTTTGTAAGGCTAATACCAATCCATGGCGGGATGTTCCCATCTAATTCATTTTCACTGAGATCAAGTACCCGTAACTTGATGCAATTTCTTAGAGAAAAAGGTATTTCTCCCGAAAGGTTATTTTTTTGAAGATGCAATGACTTGAGGTCTCTTAAAAGTTTCAACTGAACTTGGAATCGCACCAGAAAATCTATTCTTAGATAATATGATGAGATTCAGAGATGGCCACTTGGTCCAACAGTTTGGTAATTCTCCAGATAAAGAATTGTCGCCAAGGATGAGAATCTGCATTGCCATTGTTGCATTCATCTCACGACACAAAAAGTGGTTAATGGAACCAGACAAACCATTATTAGAAAGGTCTAGGAAATAAAAATTGGAGGAGACTAGAGGTAAGGGACCAGTAATGTTATTTGAGCTTAAATCGACCGTGGGAGAGAAGTTTTGTCTAAAATAAAAAGACAGTGGAAAAGTAGCAACTCTACTACCAGGAGGTAAAACACTATGTAATCTATTTGGAAGCTGCCCTTGGATTTGGTTGTGAGAGAGATTTAAAAATATAAATTGAGCTGACATTTTCAAAAACCAATCAGGAAAAGTGTCAGAAATTCTTGAGCCAGGCATACCTAAATATCTTAAATATTTTTGAGAATGAAGCCACTGTGGAAATTGTGAACCTAATTTCCAAAATCCTAAAAATAAGAATTGAGTTTGAAAAGGAGGAACCCATCCAGATTTGACTTTCAAAGTAAACGAGTTAACCCTCCCAGAAAAGTATTTTAATTTTGTGAGGTTATGAAAATGAATTTCGGAAACAGTGCCTTCTAAATAATTATTGGAAATATCAACCACTTCTAGGTTAGAAAGCTGACCAAATGGTTTGGGAAGATTTCCTGTCAATTTATTGCCCTTTAGAACCAATTGTTTCAAACTCTTAAAATTACCTAGTTGATCAGTCAGTTGTCCGAAGAGTTGACTATAACCAAAATCCCATGACTCTAATGTATTTGAAACACATCCAGAAAATAATTCTAATATATCAGATATTTCTTGGCTCAAGTTGACATCAAATAATGACACTGATCTTAAGTTACAAAGATTTTCCATTGACCTTGGGATTTTCCCTTGAAGATAAATATTTCCAGAGAAGTCCAGGACAACAACAAACTTCATCTCTCCAATGGCACTAGAAATATGACCATGCAAGTTATTATAACTTATATCTAAAAACTCAAGAAGACTAAAACAGTATAACCAGTCAGGTATTGAAGAATTAAAATAATTGTTTGACAGATCAAGGTATTTCAAAAAAGTTAGATTTTGAAGACCACAAGGGATCGAACCCTCAAAATTGTTGGCTGATAGATCAAGCATAACCAAGTTCCTAAGATCAAAAACCCAGTTTATTATTGATAAGTTTGAGAAATGATTTCTAGAGAGATCAAGGGAAACAAGAGATGATAAATTTACACTTGAAAAAGCCTCAGCTTGTCCCTTGGGGAGATGAGAGCCAGCCAAGTGTAATTCTAATAAGGAAGGAAGGGTGTTTACGAAATGAAACCAATTGGAGGCCTTGTTAAGGTTATTGAAACTCAAATCAAGGTGTTTTAATAAGGAAAGACCGGAGAGCCAATGAAGATTCTCATCATGCAACAAATCGTTATCACGAAGACTGAGATACTGCAAATTGGAGAGATTCCCAAGGTGTGGAGGAATCTTCCCTGCAAATCCTGCGTTGCTTAAGTCAAGGAATTTTAAGCTCTTTAAAGAACCAAAGAACTTGGGAATTTGAATTCCTCCAAAATCATTGTTGCTGAGGTTCAAATAACTCAAATGCTTCAAATGCAGCAAAGAAGGACTTATCTTACCGAATAGTTGTAATGTCACAGAATCATACAAGTCCACAATTTGAGTGGGAGCACTGAGGTGGAGTTGGAGGACACGGTCGGTCAGGTTATGGCAGACGACTCCCTTCCATTTGCAACATTCTCCATTGCTAGCAACCCACGAGGAGAGGCGATCTGCATGATCGACCAGACCCTGCTTCAACTCCAAGAGGGCTTGCCTCTCCTCCTCCATGCAGATTCCATTGCAGAAGCCAGTAAGACTGAGAAATCCAAAGAAGAGAGTTGTAAGAAGATTCATTGAGAATATTTTCTTTATGTTAACTGACTAGTTAGGTACTTGGAAATCAATGACGGGTGCGTGCTATTTATAGCTTATATATTAATTCGTAGTTGCCCAGTACGTTCCAAAGGTAAACCCATTGCATACGGTTTCTATTAACACGAGTTTACAAGTTGGCCCTTGGTATGTTAAAGTCCCAACGTTTTCTGAAATGAATTGACAATAGATGAAGTGATTTGGGTTAGCAGGTTCAAAGAAGCTGCAAGCCTCTCCCTCTCTCTTTATAGTCTTTACCAACTCTCAATGAAGTTTCCTTTGCACAAGCTATAAAACCCATGTAATCTGACGGAGAAGTACTCCTCCAACAATTAAAGCTGGCCGGTAGGTTTTCTAAAATGAATTGACAAAGTGATTTGGGTTACAGCAGGTTCAAAGAAGCCGCAAGTCTCTCCCTCTCTCTTTATAGTCTTTACCAAAGCCCAATGAAGTTTCCTTTGCAAAAGCTAAAACTTACGTAATCTGACTGAGAAGTCCTCCAACAAATAAAGTTTGTCGGCAGGTTCAATGAAACCACGCTCCAACTCGGAAAACTTCTTTTCCTCTTGCTATCCTGCTTTGAAATCTTCTCTGCAGAAGTCAAGATGGCAATAACTATTTGTGCTATGGCATGAAAGCTGAAAATGCAATGAAGTGAGAGCTGCAACATGACTGCACTGTAGCAGCAAAGTTACAGAGCATTGAGCTGCACATGGACCACAAGAAATGGCAGCAAACTTCAACATTTTAGTCAATGTTTTGGTAGTCAGTTATTGTTTTAGGTAGAAAAATATCTAAAGATATATTAAAGTAAAACCAAAAAAATCTTTTTGTATTCACACTATTCACATTTATAAATTATATAATATCTGATCTATTAAACCCCTTAACTGAATTTAAACTAGATTGAAACCAGTTTTTATATGTTCACACTTATATAAATTAGATAATTTGCCCTATTAAACCTTGAACTAAATTCAAACTAGATTTTAACTAATTTCTATGTGTTCACATTTGTTTACACTTATAAATTACATAATTTATTCTATTAATCTTTTAGAAATAAATAAATTATTATTATTCACACTTTTTATAAATTATTATTATATTATTATTATTATTATAAAAATATATAATTA